GCAAATGGTTAAATGCTCTACTCAAAAGACATATGATAGCTGAATGGATAAGAAAACATGACCCACATATATGCTATCTACAAGAAGCCCACTTTAGAACAAAAGATCTAAACAAACTGAAAGTGAAAGGTTAGAAAAAATATTCCAAGCAAATATAGTCAGGGGGGATAAAAGCAAAGGTTTCAATACTAATATCAGAAAAAAATAGATTTCAAAACAAAGACCATAAAAAAAGAGAGAAGGACATTTCATAATTTTAAAGGGGAGAATCCATCAAGAGTCTATTAAAAAATGTAAAAATATATGCATCCAACATAGGAGCACCCAATATATAAGAAAAATCATGGATGACTTAAAAAAAGATATATACAGCAGTCTATATCTCTTCAGAAAAGATATAGACCCTTATAAGAGGGGATTTTAACACCCCACTATCAACAATGAACAGATCTTCCAAACAAAGAATCGACAAGGACATTGTGACCCTGAACAACATCCTAGATCAATTGGACTTAACTTATACAAACAGAATTTTTCACCCCAAAGAAGCAAAATATACATTCTTTTCAAGTGAACATGGAACATTTTCAAAGATAGGTCACATGATATGACACAAAACAAGCCTCTACAATTCAAGAAAATTAAAATCATATCAAGCATTTTCTTGGACCACAATAGGTTGAAACTACATATGAACATCATGAAAAACACTCAAAAACATTCAAATTCATGGAGACTGAATAACATGTTATTGCACAATGAATGGGTTAGCAACAAGATCAAGGAAGAAATCAAAAAGTTCCTGGAAAACAAACAAAAATGAACACAAAACAGCCCAAAAACCTATGTGACACAGTGCAGGCAGTCCTGAGAGGGATGTTCATGGCAATAAAGGTCTAAATAAGAAAAATTCCAATTAAATAGGACTGTACATCTACAAGAACAGAAGGAATAACAAAAACAAACAAAGCCCACAGCGAGTAGAAGGAAGGAAACAACCAAGATCAGAGCAGAATTAAATGGCATAGACTAAAACAACAATTCAAAGGATCAATAAATCCAGGAGCTGATTTTTGAAAAGATAAAAGAAAAACCAAAAATCTGACAAGCTTTTAATCAGATTCATTAAGAAAAAAAAAGGGAAAGAACCCAAATAAATAAAATCAGAAATGAAAAAGGAGAAATTACAAGTAATAACACAGAGATACAAAGGATTGTAAGAAATCACTATGGACAACTATATGCCAAGAAATTTGAAAACTTGGGTGAAATGGACAAATTTCTAGAAATACATAATCTTCCAAAACTGAATCAAGGTGAAGCAGATAGCCTGAATAGACTAATAACAGCTAGAGAAATTGAAGCAATAATTAAAAAACTCCCAGCACACTAAAGCCCTGGACCAGATGTTTTCACAGAAGAATTTTACAAAACATTTATGGAGGAGCTAATCCCTATCCTTCTCAAACTACTCCAAAAAATACCAGAAAAGGAAAGACTCCCAAACTCTTTTTATGAGACCAGCATCATCTTAACCCCCAAACTAAATAAAGACACAACAAAGAAAAAAAAAAACTACAGGCAATATCACTGATGAACATAGATGATAAAATCCTTAACATAATATTGGCAAATAAGATCCAGCAATACATTTAAAAGATCATACACTGTGATTAAGTAGGATTTATCCCTGATATGCAAGGATGGTACAATATTGCAAATCAGTATATGTAATATATCACATAAACTAAATGAAAGACAAAATTCCCATTATCATATCAATAGATGTAGAAAAAGCATTTGATAAAATATAGCACCTGTTTATGATAAAAACACTCAACAAAGTGGGAGTAGAGGGAGAATACCTCAACATAATAAAGTCCATATACAAGAAACCTACAGCCAATATCATACTCAACAGGCAAAAACTAAAATCTTTCACCACTTCTATTCAACATAGTATTGGAAGTTCTAGCCACAGCAATCAGACAAGAAAAAGAAACAAAAAAGCATCCAAATAAGAAAGGAGGAAGTAAAACTATCATTGTTTGCAGATGACATGATAGTATACATAGAAAATTCTGTAGACTCCACCAAAAAACTACTCAACCTAATAAGTGAATTTGTCAGAACAGCAGGATACAAAGTCAATATTCAGAAATCAAAGGCATTTTTGTACACCAGCAATGAAATATCATAAACAGAAATTAGGAGAAAGATCCCATTTACTATAGCAACAAGAAAAATAAAGTACTTAGGAATTAACATAACCAAGGTTTAGGTTTCTAAACTGTACTCAGAAAAATACAGGACACTGAAGAAAGAAATTAAGGAAGACACCAATAAATGAGAGCATATACCATGTTTATGGATTAGAAGAATTAACATCCTTAAAATGTCCATAATACCCAAAGCAATTTATAGATTCAATGCAATCCCTATTAAAATATCTATGACATATTTCACAGATATAGAAGAAATATTTCAAAAATTGATAGGAAGCATATATGACTCTGAATATCCTCAGCAATTCTGAGAAACAAGAACAAAGTAGGAGGGATCACAATACCTGATATCAAACTATATTACAAGGCCACTGTGATCAAAACAGTCTGGTACTGACATAAGAACAGACACACATACCACTGGAACAGAATACAGTGCCCAAAAGAAAACTCATGTCTCTATGGTCAATTAATATTCAACAAAGGAGGCAGGAGCATAAAATTGAGTAAAAATAACCTCTTCAATAAATGATGTTGGAAGATCTGGACAGGTACATGCAGAAATAAAGAAACTAGACTACCAATGTACACCATGCTCAAAAATAAACTCAAGATGGATAAAATACCTAAATATAAGTCATGACACCATTAATGTCTTGGAGAAGAACATAGGCAGTAAAATTTCAGATGGTCCACACAGCAATATTTTCACCAATATGTCCCCTAGAACAAGAGATATAAAGGAAAGAATAAACAAATGGGACTACAACAAATTAAAAAGCTTCTGTGTGGCTAAAGCAAACATCGGCAAATTAAAAGAGAACCAACCATATGGGGAAACATATTTACCAATGATACTTTGGACAAGGGTTTTATCTCCAAAATATATTAAGAAAGCACATGGCTCCACTCCAGGAAGACAAACAATCCAATTGAAAAATGGGTTAAGGACCTAAACAGACGCTTCTTCAAGGATGACAAATGGAGGGCCCAGAGACATATGAAAGGATACTTAACATCACTGGCCATCAGAGAGATGAAAATTAAAACCACAATGAGATACCACTTCACACTGATCAGAATGGCCATCATTAACAAATCAACAAACAACAGGTACTAGTGAGGTTGTGGAGAAAAGGGAACAATGTTGATAGGAATGCAGACCGGTGCAGCCACTGTGGAAAGCAGTATGGAATTTTCTCAAAAAACTAAAAATAGAACTGTCTTTAGGTATGGCGATTCCATAGCTGGGATTATACCTTAAAAATCCTGAAACACCAATTCTAAAGCACCTATAAACCCCAGTGTTCATGGCATCATTAGTTACAATAGCCAAGTGCTGGAAACAGCCTGAGTGCCCATCGGTAAATGAGTGGATCAAATTAACTGTGGTACATTTACACAGTGGAATACTACACAGCAGAAAGAAAAAGGCGCTCCTATCCTTTGCAGCAGTATGGGTGGAATTGGAGAGTATTATGCTAAGTGAAATAAGCCAGGTGGTAAAAATCAAATACCGTATGATCTTATCTATAAGTGGAACATAATCAAGAAAACAAACAAGCAAGATAGACTCAGAGACAGGGAAGAACAAACTGAAAGTGAAGGGGATAAACAGGAAAAGAAGAAGGGTTAAGTCTAGGAACATGTATAAAGGATGTCTTTGTCCATGAGGGAGAGGACTGAAAAAAAAGACTAAACATTCAGTTATAAACAAATCATTTTCAACGAGACAAGTATATTATCAGAACTTTGTCAAGGCTATGATACAATTCTCCTGTGCAATGGGCAAATAATGAATTATATACCCTGTGGTCAACACAATTTAACCTACTTGTTTTAAAAAAAATGCTTGATATGATGAAATATAAAAATAAATTAATCAATCCTATAACCCATACCTCTCTCAGAGTCCCATGAAGTGCCATGCTTCACATTAAAGAAAGTGGAAATTTAGTCCATGTTTTCAGTTAGTCATTGTATTCAGGCAAAATTTTATGTAAGTGAAAATTTTATGTAAGTGTAAAAACAAAGTAGTAATATTTAGATACATGAATAAAACATTCATGAATAAAAAAGTAAGGATTCTAAATGAAAATAATTTCGTGTAGTCAAGAATTTGCAAGTTGGTCCTCAGAGAAAGATATGAACTTCAGTTGAAGCACTGGGTGCAGTTTTTAGGATGAGAAAGATTAGTCCTAGAGGACTTGTGGTTTGTTTGAAGATACCTTGGGATTTCAGGAACCAAAGTGCTTAAGACCTTGCAGCAAACTCTGGCAATGTGCACCATCTCTGGGCTTACAGTCACAGAGGCTGGAAGTTTTAATAAAACCCACATCACTGGGTTCTACAGCATTGCAAACACATAGATTAATAAAATTGTTTCCTACCTTCAAGGCATTTTATGTCTACTCAGAGAACGATATATACACAAAGACAGTATAGAACATTAAGGCCTTAAATCCAAAAACAAAGTAGCTCATATGATAAACTCAAGACAACTGAAATGGAATCTGACAAATCTGTAGGTCCATAGAATTGAGTGTTCTACCTTGTGGTGATGCTTAGAATTTGATTGGCAGAAGGAAGGTGAAAGTATTAGTTCATTGATATTGGAGAGTTGCATGGCCATCTCAGAAGGTAAAGTGCTAAAGAATGCAGCCGTTACACAAGCACACTCACACTTATATACATGGCCGCACCTACATTACATAAATAATGTCTACATGTATTTTTTATATATTGTAACAACACACTGAAAATATTGAGGTTCACTCATGTTTTTAATAGGCAGATTTCATTCAACTTTTCTCCCTTACAATATTTGTAATTTCCACCCCAACTTAAGGAACAGGCCTCTCATTACTCTGTTTTCAGGTTCATCAGGTCTAACATACATTAAATATCATAAAGGATTGATGTAAGGATAAAATTAGATTATAACTGTAATTTTATTATAGCACTTATTCAATAAAATTTTATGCTATACATACCAAGGCCAGCACCATACTAGAGAGATGCATTCCCTTAATTAAGCATTAACATAAATGTTTCTTATCCTCACCTGAGGATATACTTATTGACTTTAGAGAGAGAGGAAGGAAGGGAGAAAGAGAGACACATCGATTGGTTGCCTCCCACACATACTCCCACTGGGAATCAAACCTGCTACCCAGCTATATGCCCTAACCAGGGATGGAACCTTCAACTTTTTGGTGTATAGGACAATGCTCCAACTGAGCCACCAGGCCAGGGCTAATATAAGTGGTTTTTAATGTCTATGTTTCCCCACCCAGACCATCCTTCAAAATTTCTTCTTTCAGAAAATACCACACAAAGTCATTAGAGGCAGTAAAACAGAGTCAGTTCAAATCATTGAGTATTTATTAAGTGATATATACATAACAAAAAGTTCAGTGACATTATGTGATAAATTTTAAATTATTAAACATCCAGAGTAATCCCCAAAATTATAGATATATTTTAATAAAATATAGTTTGAACTGTACAAACCATCATGGATTATAAAAAAGACAATACTGAGCACAAAAGGAAACCTCAGTAAAGCATATTGGAAATGATTTCACAAAATGTTTGAGAATGAAGATTACTTCACCAATATAGGAATCAGGAGAAGAGCCTCCATGTAGAGAATATATTGCAATGAATGTGAAGAGAAAAAGAGTAACAGAAATGGGTACACCTCTCGAAGTGAATAATGTCTTAAAGAAAAATAAGGTCTAACTGAAAATTTCTGACTTTTGACCTTAAATAGGATCATTGATAAACTTAGGAATTAAAGAACAGGACAGTGCTCATGGTGAAAACCCCACACAATTTTGTGTAGGACAGATGACCCTGACTCCATGTGAAAAATCAAGGCACTAACTCGAACACATTAACAGACAGAAACAGCTCCTTTTTGCCCCTATAGAGTCTTACATTATACTTCATCAACCACACAGAATATGAACATGTAGGCTCATGCCAAAGAACATGATCCGAACATGTTCTAATCAGGGCATAGTATAAAGAACAAGGGAGAGGTTCCAATTCCATTTCTCGAAATATTCTAAGGGCTGTCATTTGCCACCAGTTGGCTGTATTATTAAGCCATAGTCATAAATGTCCCTGTACAGTTGTCTTTATCAGCCTGCACCTGACCTTTACATTAAATTTTCTATGTAAGTTTTCTACAAGAACCATTGTTCACTAATCCACAAAAACATTTATAGTAAAATCCATTTAAAAATTAAAGTTAATCAACACTATGCAAGCTTCTATATAAGAAACTACATGTAATAATTATTTTGGAAATTAGTCCCAGGGACACACAAAAATAACAAGACCATGAGCATAATTTAAAAATATATATTATATACATAATATATATACTGTTATTTGTTAAACTGATTGTTTTCCTTTTGAGTTATAGTTATAAAACTTGTTAATTCAAATACTATTTAACTTACCTATAATATCTTAACACAAAACAAACATGTTAACTGCTAATCATTACACATCTACTCTATTTGTTTTCCATCCAAATTTCTGTACTGGAGTGTAATTCATGTTAAAAATTCTAGTATACATGCATCTGTGGTAGGCTGGGTGAAATATTTTGAGGGGGAGAGAAGAAATTCTGACTATATTCAGTGCATAGATTAACAATCACAATCTCAACTTAATGCTTAATTCACAGCTACTCAAGGACAAACTTTAGGATGAAGGGTGATCATAAATGACAGTAGATAAATGATAAATTTAGTTTCATACTCATTAAATTATAATACATTACACTGAATTTCCTATATAGTTGGAAAAATGCCAGTTGATATTTTTAAAAAGAGTAACATATTAATATTTAATTTTGCTTTTAAGAAAAGTTTGTCATTAACACCTGATTGAGTTTCAATGTTTTTTAAATAATTTTTGCTTTTTATGTCATGTATGGACAAGATATGATTAGTTCTGTGTGTTTCAACTAATTCTCTATGCAAAACAAGTGACAGTGATTCAGTAAGAGTCAGAGCTTTATCATCTGGATTGCAAAACTAGAATTTCATATTTTAGTACATAATAAACTTGAGAAAGCACAGATTCTCATCAAGAATGTTTTTCTCATGAATAGTCGTAAGAATGTCAAGTACAGCATGGGAAATATGGGCAATAATATTCTAATGACTATGTATATTGTCAGATGGGTGTGGGATTTAACACTTAGTAAGTTATGTAATGTCCAATCACTGGGGTGTACACCAAAAACTAATATAATAATGTATGCCAACTGTAACTTAAAAATTAAAAAATGATTTAAAATAGTGACAAAAAGAATGTTTTTCTCAGCCTTGTTATTTGAAATAAAATGATAAAAAATTAAGAAGCAGCGCCCTTACAGTGAAAAAATTTGGACACTTGATTTCGAATCTGTTTGGTCTTCACACCATACACAATAGGATTGAGCAAAGGTGGGACAAGCAGGTAAATGTTGGACAGGAGAATATGAATGTAAGGTGGAATGTGGAACCCAAATCTGTGTGTAAAGAAGGAGAAGAAAGCTAGGAGATAAAACTCAAGAAAGACACAAATGTGAGCGACGCATGTGTTAAATGCTTTGAGCCTGGCTTCCTTTTGAGGCAGACTGAAGACAGTTGTAAATATTCGAATGTAGGATAGTGTGATGAAGATTATGTCAAAGCCAAGGACACTGAAAGCCACAAACAGACCATAGATCTTGTTGATCTGAATATCTTCTGCTGCCAACTTCACAATGGCCATGTGCTCACAGTATGAATGGGTGACCACAGTGGTCCAGTAATATTTCAGCCGGCATTTGATAAGGATGAGACATGGAGCTACAAGGAGGGCTGCTCTGAGTGTCACCCCAACCCCAATCTGAATGAGAAATTGGTCAGTAAAAATGGTTGCATGTCTCAGAGGATCACAGATGGCCACATAGCGATCCAGGGCCATGACCAGCAGAACACCTGACTCAATACATTGGAAGGTGTGGATGAACCACATCTGCAAGAGACAGGCATCAAAGGATATCTTTGGCAGATGAAACCAGAATATTCCTAGCATTTTAGGTAAGATGCAAGTACTAAGAACAATGTCTGTGGCTCCAAGCATTCCGAGGAAAAGATACATGGGCTCGTGGAGACTGGACTCAGATTTGATAATGACCAGGAGCAGAGAATTCCCAGACAGAGCAATGATGTACACAGCACAGAAAGGAATGCCAATCCAGACCTGAACAGACTCCAAACCAGGGATCCCAATTAGTGTCAGCACCGAGGGCATGAAGACTGTGTCATTGAGATTGAACATATTGGCTTAGAACTCACTGGTTTGGAGCTTCTGATTCAAGGTGGTAGTATATGTTGAGTGTTTCTCTCCTATTTTTTGTTCCCACCTAGATTTCTGGAAAATTTGAACTATGAAAATAATTACACAATAGAATAATAGCCAAAAATTAAAAGTTACTATGGTTTTTTTATCCAGGAAGTTTTTTGTAGTATCACAGTGTGATCATTCAATAATATTTCTATTTTTCATATATATACAAAACACCTGATATTATTCACTATTATTTTAGTAAAATAAATCATAAATTATTAAAACCAAGAACATGAAACTTCAAATGTACTATGAAATATTAAATAAGCAATGATATTTGGTTAGTTTATAATATGATTTCTGATAAAAATAATTAACCAGTTTTAACATATTTTTTACAAGCATATCGAATACTATTAGACAAATCGGTTTCTTGTTTGCTATCATTCATTATGCTGTGGATGTAGTAGTCTATGGTCCAAATCCATATTTGTTGGCAATTCTGGTATTTAAGCATAGTACAATTTCTTGGAAGTTTATTTTTCTTTCACATACTTAAATTAGGCACACCATTAATATAGAATTAGGTTCAACACCTTTTTATTGCCTATCTTCTATAAATGAGCTCTGTGCAAAGGTCTGGATAAGCAAACAATAAAGCTATAGAACTTATCAGAAAATGAGGCTGAACTCATTTGACTATTTTGAACTTCAATTTTTACACTAGACTATTTGGTCCCATGCTTAGACTATGTCATGCATCCAGGTCCTATGTCTCTAAACTAATAATGATCTTGCTCTATGATAAAAAAAAAAGATTTATTGATATTTGCAACAAGTAATCTTGGTCATTTTTCTGAGTCAATTTAAATCTATGTCAAGAGCCTCTACTCAAAAAGGTTATACCAAGGCAAGGTGTAGATATGTGAACAAAAAGTGTCACTTCATTTCTTGAAATTCAAAAATAATACAATGCTAAATCTGAATATATACTTCTGTAAATGGATATTAAACGTACATATATGCAGAAGTTAGATGGTTTCCTTTAAGATTATTTATGTATGGAGGAATCAGTTCATTGAAAACCTCACTTCTCTCCCTACCTGGTGTGTGTCAGTGCAGTTTCTCTATTAGTTGTCACAGAGCCAGAGTTGCTCTGTGACCACATATGCAAGAGCCAACACCACCTGAAGGAAGCTCTGGTCTGAGGATGACTTAATGCCAAAGGGAAAGCTGTTTCCTACCTGATGAATATATATTATAACCTAGATCCTAGAATCTTATTCTTGGTAAAAAACACAAAAGTCTTACAATTCACATTATTCTTTAAGGAACATTTATTTTTGACCACCTGGCTTTTTTGTATACAATTAATTCCACCAAGAGGTGAACATCTGAGGAGTCAATTTATATTTTTGTAAAATAGATTGGAAAGAGAAATCTATTAAATGACTATTCCTCCATATTCCTTTTAGAACTCTGTTATTCCATCCTGTTTGGTGTTCATTTTTTACTTTTGTTGGGTGACCAGAGTTATTCTTTCTTCAGTAAAGTTGTAGAAAATTATTTTCAATCATCTTGGATATAAAATTGTAAATGAACCTAAAATGCAGTCTATTGCATTAATCTCTCACTTCCATAGGGCTGTAAATTCAAAAGACTATTTGTTTTTCTAAATCGCCATTCAACTTTGCTAATGAAGGTTTACAACAATCTCTGTGGAAATTTACTGCTCCCTCAATAATTCTTATTTTCAACTCCTCATACCTTCACAGAAGCTCTTAATGTGAGGCCCATATTCCCTTTATTTACCATTGCTGTCATGACTACTTCTTTCTGATTCATATTGGTCTCCAACTTTTTCTTCGTTGCAACACATTAACTACTCTTTTGCTGCCTGACTCAATATCCTTGCTCCTTTAATTATCTACCAGCATGTGCCTGAAGATCTCACATTATAGTCTATATATTCATATTGCCAACAAATGATACTAGAAAAATATCACAATTCTGGAAAGGCTCCCACTGAAACTTATGCAGCTTTGAATTCCATGGCTGATTTCCAGGCATTTCTATTCATAAATTCTTTTTTTTTTTCCCCTTCTTACTCTCTGTAATAACGTAATCTCTACTGGCTGTAAGATGTTTGTTACAATTTTACTAACTCTCAATTCTTTCTCTCTGCCATGTAGGAAAGGAGTATCCTCCACCTAATTTTCCTAATTATGTGCTGATATTTACTTATCATTCCTTACTCTTACTCTAGAAACTAGATATTTTCCTTTGTTTATTTAGCGTTTCCCCCAAACCCTGTATTTTTATCACGTATTCATTTACTAATTATTTCCTTTCTGATAAAATGTTTCAGGCTTAAATAAATTTTCTAATAATACTTGCTGTGATCTGTTGCTAAAATTTTCTGCACTGTTTTAATTGCCTCTACGATACTGAATAAATCACTATAACTTATTGTATTTTGCTATTCAGTTTAAAACATTTCTCAAACTATTGCCATATGCTTTTGCAACCACATCTCTTTAACGTTTACTTTCCTGGGAAAAAAATCAAAATGAAACTCTAAACGCAATGAACTTTGTAAAGGACCCTTCTAAATTGATATTTGTTCAGTGCTTTACATTGTTTCCTCTATAACATGTATTTTGTTTTTGTTCTTATAATCACACTGTATCCTGTTTTTCTACCTGTTCAAAATTCTCTCCTTTTGTTGTTCTGTCTGACTCCCTTTATGTCATTGATGTTGTGAGTCCTACTGAGGACTATATTCCTTTCCACTCATTCTATATATCCCTCTGCCCAGTAGTATTGTCCAGTCCCATAGTTTCACCAACCACTGGTTAAGAGTAAATAAATATCATCTCTACATAAATCAAACCTGAACAAAGGATAGATATATTAAACTGCTTCTTAAACAGTTCCATTTTGATGAAGTTTCTCTAATTCAGGGAGCAGGGAAAAGTAGTAAAAAAAAAAATCAAATTTGGGCTTTTGATTTAAGTGTCTTTACTTAATCCCATTTGCCAGTCATCTAGCCAATATACCTCAATAGATTCAGGACTCTTAAAAGAGACCTTTTATTATGTATAATTATATATGGGGAAAAACACCTCAATTTCTCTAGAAAAAAATTGGATACCCAATAATTTCTTCAAATCAAGTCATATATTCAGTGACTAAATGCTTAGCAATAGGAGACACAATTTTCACATGTGCTATTAATATTACTGATAACTTTCACTTAATCACCCTTACAAACCTGTCAGTCATAATAAAATATATGCTAGAATTATGTAAACTAATTTAGAATTCTACATTTATTTTCTTATACTTTTCTATGTTCCTAATGTTTCTTTTAGACTTTCTCCTTTCCTCTTTGTCTTTCCCATCTGACAATTACTCATTTATTATTAAACTTCCAACTCAAATATTACCTTCTCTACAAATAATCTGCTAATATTTTAGACAAAATTCAATTTTTTTCTGTCCTAAACATATGACTATTAAATACATCATAATAGTAATTAATCAATATTTTATTTTATCCCTATCTGTTTAATGTAAAAAATGCATAAAACTTAATGCAGATGCAAATTCACTTGACCCGTTTTCACTTGTATATCTGCATGGAGAAGTGAGAATTAGAAAAGGGAAGAATCAATCTGAGAAAAATGCTAAGAATTTTAGTATCTTAATGTATAAGATTTCTCTGTTTTTATTTCAGTATTATAACCAAATACTCACCGAAGTCAGGATATATACATGCTGTAGTTAAAGATCTGTAGAGATTCACCATAGATAGCAGCCGGGAAAACAAACGGTGAAAGTGCTAACTAGATCAAGAGGAACTTAGTACTACTTGTTTATACGCTCATGTCTTACATGAAATCCTGACAACTAAAGTATTATCCTCTTTTTAGGATGTGATAAAGGTGACTTCTCATGCATAATTATAGAGTGCAATTTCCCACACTCCCCTTAGATCATTTTTAACATTTTTCTGTGTAGGTCTCAGAATCACCTAGAAAAACATATACTCACAAGCTCATTTCGTCAATCTTTTCATGTGCTTGCACTGACATGCTAATGTAGCCATACATGCAGTTACAAAGAAATTGTTTTCCATGAGAGAAACAGAGAGCAAATATAGCCTCAGCAGTTGGGTAAGAATACGATGCAATTCTCCTGAGGAATGGAGTTAATAGTACATATGTCAACAGATGTCATCATATACAATTTAGTATTTGTTCCATTTTTCAATGGCTTCTAAAAATGAATGCACAAATATTAGAAAGAAGAAACAAGTGCTGATTCCAGTACCCCATTCCCAGACATCCAGGAGCTCATGATTTAACTTCATGAAGCTGGAAGAAAGAATTGGAATTAGAGCGCTCTCCCTAACAAGAGTTAATCTAAACATTCTTGAGATACTTAGTGACATCCTGTCACTGCGCGGAGGTTATAGGGGGCACTCCGCCCCGGGGGAGTGCAGCAGTGAACGCAGTAGCGCTCCCTGAACCTGAGGGAAACAGGCTGGGGCCAGCTGAGGTGGGAGCAGGCTTCTGAAATCCGAAGAGCCCGTCCTGGGGTTGTCACGGATGAGGCAGAATTAACACAAACGTGGCCAATACTTCTCTGTTTTCCGGGAGACCAGACGGGGGCACTTCCCTCTCACTGGAGAAGGCCATGGCACATCCCCCTAGAGGGGAAAGCTCGATTGCCCTTGGTTCCAAGGCTTTTATTGAAAATCTTATCAGTGGGGTATGTAACAGGAATGCATACGTTATCTCCTTACATCAGTATGGTAAGTTTCACAGTGAATATATGATGCTTTTAACAAGGCAAGTGACAGGAGTACACTGATTTACATGGGTCCAAGAGACCAGAATCAACAGTAGAGACTATACATAAGGGGAAAGTAGACTTAAAGGCTCCTTAAAGATATAGGGTAAAAGCTGTAAATAAAGTAAATGTCT